CAACTTGAAACAGTGAGCGGAAAATCGGAAGAAACTTAAAGAAGAACTTTTTGGTTTTATTTTCCAACAAGAGTCCTGTTTAGGTCTAAGACTTTAAATCAGATTTTTTAGATTTTCTTTCAGTGTATTATTTTATGGACAGTTTTTTTTTTTGAGTGCCTCGAATTGTGTCTGGCCCGTGTTTGTGTTTACATTTCGTCTTAAGCTGCGACAAGATGCCGCCATATATTTGTCACATGGACGCCACTTTTACAGTCAACAGGGACACGGGGGTGGGGTTGGCAGCTGGGTGCTTGCCCTCGGGGCTAGCAGGGGAGGAGGGAGGTAGAGGTAGGGAGGTACTGGAGCAGTAGGACAACAATCGACGAGTGGATATCACAGGCATTGGGGCAACAAAGGCACATGGCAGTGTAGCAGGGCGGCGGGGGAGCTGTGTGCAAATAACCTTAAGCCGGAAGCTCGTCAAGTGACTTTGCCGGCAGCCGCCAAGCCAACCACCCCAGCACACCACACACCACACCACCCACACCCACCCACACGACGGGTGTTCCATCATCAACGTATCCCAAGTATTTGCATTTTGTATCACTTAAGCAGCAGCTTTCCATTGTTGCCACTGGTCACAGGAGACATTTATAGCCAAACACACACATACACTTGCAGAGTCACATAAAAGTTGGCTTTGCTTTTTTTTCCACCCACCACCCCCTGGTGGCCACCCCATTCTCCATTCTCCCAACTTGCCCTCAAATGTTAAGTAATGGAATTATTCGTGTGCTCAAGTGTAGGCTCCATTTGGCTGGAAGGAAGCGAGGAAGTCAACGATTCAGAGGAGTCAAAGGAACCCCTCCTCCCTCTCATCCCCTCCCTGGACAATCAGACTCGGCCTGGCAACAAATTTCGGCGGAGGGCAGCGGCGAAGGAGCCGGCGGAGGAGGCGCGTGTAATTGCCAAGACAAACACTGTGTTAAGTGGGCTCGGGCAGCGGAATTGTGGCCGAGACGGCCTCGTGGCATGCGTGTGTGTGGGCCTGACTCTGACTTGTTGGCCAGGACTGGGCTTTCCAATATTCAGACTTCCAATCTCCAGGCTAAGCTTCCACTTCATGCTTGGCTAATGGCCGTTAACCAGCTCCCCTACCCTAAACCGTATCCTTTTCGCCTGCCGCCATTTCATTTTCGGGCATAATACTTGTTTTAATTCAACCTCCTCTTCTGGGTTTGTTGTCGCCTTTGCTGCCACGCCCACTGGCTCCAACAATGAGTATATATGCATGAAAATAAAAAAAAGGGCCAGAGCTAGGAGCAGGAGCGGATGGGGGGAGCTTGCAATTAATCACAATTAAAAACGGTCCCAAGATTTTTTTGCTCCCTTTTCCTCCTCACCCACACATAGGTGTATATATATTTTGTATATACGTATAGTATATATGTCTATGTAGTGCCGGAGCACACCCTTTGCCCGCGTCATCCGCATTTAATTATGGAAATGTTAATTTGCTTAGCACTTCGGGCTTTGGAGGCGCTTCCCGCCGACTGGCACGCCACCTGGCGGTCAGCGGCAGACCTCCTCGCGCTGCCAGTCAGCAGAGAGCGTTCCGGCTTAGTTTTCTTTTTTTTACCGTCGCGCCATTAATTTTCAATTAACACTCTGCCAGGAGCAGATCCTGTGGGTCCTGGCAACAGTTGCCCCCCCTTCGAGTGCAGGGCATCAGCCAGTTATTCCTTATTTATGGCTTTGTTTCTGCTCCCATTGGCACCCAACTTAACCTTGGACAGCCCCACCCGCTAGCTGGTTGGCCCACCTGTAGTTCATTTCATTTATCGCCCTGTCCCCGGCAAAGTTCAATCCTTTGTTGTGCCATCATTTGTGCCTACGCCATTAACTTAAAGTGCCATTGGCCCCGGACCCGTACTTGGACCCGTACCCGGACATGGCCCAGGAAGCAGGGCGCAGCCTCCTTCTGGCCATCTGCGCACAGTCTGGGAGCACTTAACTTAAGCGCTCTAATTGTATTAAAAGCGTGTCCTGTCCTACCCGCTGGCATCCCGGCCATCCTGGCCTATTCTAGTTATCCTGCCGCCCAGCTCAGCTCAGCTCAGCTCATTGCCAGACCAGGCCGAGACTTGCCACATAGTTGACGTTGACGCAATGGCCATATCTCTCTGACCGCCGCCACAGCATCGCCCCTTTCGGTTCTCGCCGGCTTTTAACGTTTTCCCGGCTAATTCGGCTAAGTGATTTTCATGAGTGCGTGCCAGGGCCAGGACCAGGACCAGGGCTATCGGACTTATGGCTTAATTAGGGTCAGACGAAAGGGCTGAGAGCCATGCCGGTTCCGGCCAGGATTGCAATTAGTTCCGATTAACTCGAACATGGTTCGAACACAACAAAAAAAATGTCGCCTGCCAGCTGCATGTCCTTCTCAACAAATACCTGAAGGAGCCGGAATACTGTCGCGCTTTAAAGCCACATTCGCGTGGCATTGTGGCCCAATTTCGTAGAAGACTTGGCATGTAAACGCGGCATAACTTGCAATTTTCATTGGAGCATGGGGCATGAGGGAGGGGGGGGTATGGGGGAGAAGACCACATTGTAGACATTCCACGTCCTTTGCCTGGCAGGAGACCGGCAGGAGTAAATGTTAATTAAGCATCATTTACGCATTCAGGCCGTCATAATGACAATGACACTGACAGCGCCACAATGTTGCGACAGCTTTGACAAGCCCGCCAGCCAGGATACAGGACATAGGACCTCCTCCGGTTCCTCCTTCTCCTCCTCCACCGCCACCCGTCACTCTGCACGCAGTCAAATTTAATGTAACATAAAAGGTTTTCCATTTCGTTTTTGCCATCCTTAATGGATATCTGGGCCGTAATGGTTCCATCAAGGCAACCGCAGAACGGCGTGGCATGTATCTGGATGGAAAAAGGATGCACACGGGCCCATCTCCTGCTCTATTGATTGATGTCTGAGCAACCAGAGCCATCCTAGACAAGCTACTGAGTGCAATCCGTCGGCAGTTTGTCCCCCGGAACGCTTATCTGGCCGAGACAATGGGCACTGTGGCCGCGGATTAGCTCAGCCAAACGGTTGTTTAGCGGAACATCCTCGCCCAGGACCCTTGGCTTTGGCCTTGTGGCCACAAAACGCAACCCGTAAAAGGCGCTGGCTGGCCAACAGCTGGCCAACAAAATAGGAAACAAGAAAGCAACAAATCGCCAACTGTAGAAACGAAATAATAAAGACAAGCAGCCGAGGAAGAATGGAGGCCAGAATGGCAAATAAAATTGCAGAACAAAGATGAAAATGAAAATGAAACGGATGCCACGGAGGAGGAGGAGGTGCCATGGCGGAGTCGTGCCGAAGAATTACGTTAAAAGCCAAGACTAACGATGCCCGGCTGAGGTCGGAGGGAACCGATCGCTTGATATCCTGTACTTGGAGTTTAGAAATTCTCAAAAATTTATGCGGAAGCTCCTCTAGTTACCAAGTCATCCTGCAGGATTGGAAATACCCAATCCTAGCTCCTTTCGGGCCACACCAGATGCAAATAAAACGACGCCTCGGAATGGAAATAGAAATAGAAAATTGCCAAACAAAAATGGCAGCATAAACTTTTGCTGTTTCCCACTTCCGTACGTCATTCGTTCTCCTTTTCCTTGGCATTGCTTTTTGCCTCCTTTCTTCAGTCGTAACTCTCGCACACACACACACACACTCTGACACAGAAAGAAAGCCGGAGAAAGTGGCACACACATACGCCGTACGCACCGAGAGTCTGCTGCTTGTCGACATTTTGGTAATAAATTGAGTTTTATGGCAGTCATATTATTCTTTATTAGTGGGTAAGAATTGTTGCCTTTTGTTGGCTTTTGTTGCCGAAACGATGTCTCAACCAGGCATCCAGGCCAGAACAGCTCCTCCTCCTCCTGCCAGCCCGGCACCTGGAGCATGAACCCACCACAGATGGAGATCATTTTGCTCGGTTTTGTGGCGACCAAAGGACTAAATTAATTCCCTAGAACTAGGGGAACTCCCGTGGGAGTGCCTCGGGCCGGAGAGCGTATCAATCAATTTGGCATTGAAGGGCAGGCCGCCAAATCAAAAATTCCCAACCAAAACTCTTTATTTAGCGTTAAATTAGCCAAGACCCTGGCGGACGTTGGGGGAATACTAATTAGTGGAGGACGAAATCCGATTTTCTCAGCTGTCAGCGCCTGGGAAAGTGATTATGGGCCTGGGAGTGAGCGACGTGCACCGAAAATAAAGCCTAGACCCTCGGGGAACGAATCTCGGCCAGAGTACACACACCATATCGAGGTCATTCAATTACTAATCAGCCACCTCTTTGTACCTGATGATCCGTGAAAAGTCGGACCTGGACTGCGCGACTAGGACTAGGGCAGGGCACCCTGCATAATGTTCCGCTCGTGTAATTTATCATCCTCAGTCTTGGTTTTGGTTTCGGTTTCAGCAGCAGCACCAGCTCCAGAACCAGCGGGCGGTACGACTCCACTTCTGGCAACCAAGTGGTTGCGGCTGGCTGGGTGGAGTGGGGAAGCCTTTTAGGCCGCCATCGAGTGCGGAGGTGGGCGTGGGCGATGATTAATTGCCGGAGTGGCCATTTGAGCGGAAAATTCACAAAACATTTCCATCATCAAAGCGAAGCGGGACGAGGCCTGTCAACCATCCTTCCAAATTAAAGCAGCCTCTCAGCCGTGGCTCCGAGTTCTGGGAACAGAGGATGAATATTTCAGAGGTCTCTCTGAATCGGGGGCATGGTGGCCAAACAACGCCTCTAATTACAAATGCAGGACTAGTTTATTGGCAACTACGCATGCCTTACAGCCTCGTTGCACAATATCCATAATTGCCATTTATGTAATTGCCATTCGAAAGCGTAATTTGAACAAAAATGTTGCTGTTTCGGGCCTAATGATTCCTCTTTCCACCCGGACATCGTTCGCCACCCTAACTCCAATAGTTATCGGTATCGGTTTAATATCACATTTTTCTGTCATCGGTTGACAGCCTGTATTCGAACCCCTTCCCCTCCAAAATTTCGTCATGAACTCCAACCCGAGGATGGCCGCGTCCTGGCGGTCGGCGAGCCAGGCCAAGGACCAGGACGAGAACGCCTGGCCGAAGGATGCCCAGCTGCATCAGCCCCCGGAAAAGACCCAGCTGCTGCTGGCAGAGCGGGCCAGCTGCCTGGCCGTGAAGACCTACCTGCTGCTGTGCGGGCTGCCCTTCCAGGAGCGGACCAGCGACCACGCCGAGTTCATGTCACCGGGCGGGCGGCTCACCAGGTTGCCCCTGCTGAGAATAGGGCTCGTGCGAGTGCTCTCCGAGTTCGGGCCGATCGTCGACCACGTGGAGGCCACCCAGACGGGCCACTGCCTGGATGCCTGGCTTACGGAGGAGCAGCGCGACGAGATGCACTGCCTCGTAAACTATGTGGAGAACGTCTTCAGTCTGGCGGAGATCCACTTTAGCTTCGTGGACACCCTGAACTACCAGCTGTACACGGGTCCGAGGAGCGGGGCGGCCCATCCGTGGCCCCTGTGCCTGATACGGCGGTACGCCAAGCAGCGAGAGGCCACCCGCCTGCTGAAGGTCTACCAGTGGGAGTCCCTGGACCCCGATCAGGTCCTGCACGAGGTGAGCAGCTGCTGCAGCGCCCTGGTGTCCAAGCTGGAGGAGAATGAGACCGGCTCGAGGTTCTTCTTCGGGCCGCGGCCCTGCCAGCTAGACGCCCTCGTCTTCGGGCACGTGGCCGCCATCCTGTCCACCTGGATGCCCAACATGGAGATGGCCGACTTGCTGTACGGCTTCCCGCGCATCATAGGCCATTGCCGGCGGCTCGACAACAGCCTGTTCCAGGGCAGGCTCCTTGCCGAGGAGAACGAGGACCTCCTCGACGGCGAGGAGGAGTGGGGCGCCGCGGAGCAGCACAAACAAAATTAAAGACGGTGGTGGGGCCAGGACAAAGGATTCTGAATTGTTTTTTTATTTGGCCAGGGGACGGGAAGCCAATCAAAAATATGCAAAGCATTTACAATAAAAACGACAGAGTGCCCGAAGGGAGTGGGTTGGACATAGGTCTAGGGTCCTGGGTCCTGTGTTATGGGTCCTGGGTCCTGAGTTCTGAGTCCTGAATCCTGGGAGTGGCAAAGTAAGTCAAGCCAGAGATAAGCCAGAGCACAATGCCATAAAATACAGCAACAGACAAGGTCTGCACTGGAAGAACTGATATCCTTTACAGGGATTTAAAAAAAGGATATGCACTTACACTCCTCAGAGCTTAAATAAAAAATAAATCTAAAAATAATATTATTTAATAGTTTATTTAAGAGTTTATATTTAAAATTAGTTTCGAGTGCAAATGGACTTTCAATTTAAGTTCGCCTCCGACTTCAAGGTAGACACCCGGACACATAAAATGTCAGTTCGATTTTATGACTGGCCTGAAGTCACCAATCTCACTAGGGTTTGGGTAAGAAGAGTTCCCCACTCCCACTCCCCGGTCCGGTCCGGTTAACCCGTGTGACATGGCCGCATCGTCCGGACAATCAGGCGCCCCTGCTCCTGCCCCCCCTTGCCCCTCGGATGTCTCGCAATCAGAAACTCATCATGGCCTATTGATGATTTTTTGTTGTTTTCCTCTTTGTTGTTTCCTTTTACTTTTTTCGGCCCACAACTCCCCCAGGATAAGGCCCTCCCCCTCCCTGCTGCTGCCTCCTGCCTCCTCGCTGGCCGCCTGCCAGTTGGCCTTGATGGCTGTCTCGCTTGGCCTGGTAATTTATTGGAATTTGCCAAAAGGATTAAGTGCGCCAATAAGCGTTTTGTTCAACGTCGGGCCAGATTCCCGCCAAATCAGAGTGAGCATCGAACGGCGGCCACTCCCCGCCATGTCAGCCCTTTCGTCTGCTTCCGCTTCCGCCTCAGCCCCAACATCCGGCTGGTGATGGTGATGGTGATGGTGCGGATCCAAGGCAAGCTGATAAATATTGCGCGTGTCGAACGACGGCCTGATTTGTTTGGCTTAATATTTCAATTCTGGCTCTCAAGACTAGCTCTTCCTTAAATCTGACAAAAAAAAAAGATATATATCCGATTTGGAGACGTCGGGAATCGAACCCGAGGCCTCTCGCATGCGAAGCGAGCGCTCTACCCCTGAGCTACGCCCCCACGATGATGTCCCTGGAATCGATTATTCATAATATCTCCAAGCCAGCCGATCACTCACCTGGGCACCCACTCCATTTGGCCATTCGAGTCGAGTTACTCAATCAGAGGACGCGGAAAGATAGACTTGTAAACAATCATTTAGGTCGCAAAATGACCAACCTGGAACTGCTCCATCACGTTCATCGCTTTACTCGGAGCTGAGTCGCCTGATTATCCATCATCCGACGAGGGCTGTTCATCATCCGCCCTCGCGTCCTTGCGTTCCTCCTGTCCTGTTTCCTGGTGGCAGCAGCATCATCATCATCATCACGGAAACTGCGACCCACGACGAGTAACCCTAATGGAAAGTGTATAAAACACAATTTGTTTTCATTCTTGCTTTGCCTTCGCCATTCACCGTTCACCGTTCGCTGGGCGACTTTTCCGAGTTTTCCCGACTGCTTGCCGCCGCTGGCTTTCAGTTTTCAGCGCTTTATCTCAGCAGGCAGATGCCGTCCTACCCCTCCATCCTGGCGGGTGCCCACATTCTGTCAGCTTAACCGCTGCCACTTGCCATTGTTGGCTGTTTATTTTGGTAGCCTTGATGGGTGGCCCAGACCGACTTGGGCCGGGAAAACTTTTCCACATGCCACGCCCAGACGCCCCAGCGCCTGCCTCCGATGTCTGGCTGCCCTAGGGCCACTAAACAACAGATAGACTCTGAAGAGGCGGCCGCAAAGAATCGCCCATCCTAGGTATACATCCCGCCGAAAAAGCAAGCATACTTCTCAGGGCCCTCGAGTGACGTGTTTGGAGCTTCTCGCTGCTCTCGATATTGATCCTTGTTTTCGGCCCTGTTTTCGCTCGGTGCAAGTGTGTGTGTGTGTGTGTGTGTGTTTTGGGGAAAGTTGGACACCCGAAAGCCCGGCTAAAAACTTTCTATAGCCTACAAATTTTCTTTTGGCCCCAAATTGGCCGAAGCCGATGGAAGGAAAGTTTTCCTTGCGGCTACTTTCGCCACACAGCGACACATCCTTCGCTATCCTTTGGGGGAGGCCTCGATGGAGCGATGTGGCTGCCAGCCACCTACCCCCCTGAGCAGTGATTAGGCAATAATTTTCTGGCACGCAAGGAGATCACGCCCGAAGAAATATGGCGTGTCATTGAACAACTCAATATTCGACGGAACTCGCTCACCCACTCACTCACTTGGACCACCCCCGACCACCATCAATCCTTGAATCCTTGGGTCCTGGCACAATACGCACACACACACACACACACACACACACACACACACTCGTTTGGTTGTTAAGCAAATCACGTAAATTTCTTTAAACGAATTACTTTCAAATTATCGAAAATGTTTGCCAGAAACCTTTCGCAGCAGCGAAGGCGCCTAAGCAGGTGCACGTGTGTGTGCTTTTGCTTTCCCGCCTGGCTTTCCTTTGCTTTACCGTTGTTTGCATTCACTTCCGGTTCCGGTGACAACAAAGCAAAGGAAAGTTGTTCGAGCCATTTGGCAGCGAGTTTTAAATAAATATTATTGCTCTGCCACCTTGAATGCGGAATTTATACGAAAACTTTGCTGCTTAGTCCTTTGTCTGCCAAACAAATGCCAGATTACTTTCTTTTTTAGCTAATATAGCCCGCTAGTCTAGCCTAGCCTGTAGTCCTGTTTGGGAATCTGCATCGATCCTGGACAGGAAGCACTCTCCGGCCGGGTCTATTTGGGCGGGAGAGCAGTTTATAAAGTAGCAACAAATAATTGACCAACTCTGGCACTCGCAGGAGGACACTGGCACACACGTGCCCTGGAAAGTATGCTACGCAGGGCGTGGAAATCGAGGGCGGTTGCAAAATGGGTGGAATGGAAAAAAAAAAAAGAATGGAGCTCAGCACAAAAACGCGCTCAAGTGGCAATCATCATCATCATGGTGCCACTGGTGCTGCCACTACTACTACTGCTGATGCTGTTGTTGCAGCAATGATGATGATGTTAATGATGATCATTCCTAGCTGCTGCACTTGGCAATTGTTGCCAGCAACACGCCCCCTTATCCAGCCACCCAGCCACCCATTCGCACAACCACCCCCCATTTAAGCCACCCAACAGCCCAACCACCCGGGCTCGAGTGCTTAAAAATACATTGCACGTTCAAATTGAAGTGGAAATGCAACGAAATGCATATAAAAAACCAGCCCAGCCCCGGTCCTGAGAGCTGTTCCAGCAAACACTTTCTCACCAAAATCGCCAAATATTTTTCAATAGAGACTTAGTCTAAGTTATTCTATATCGAGGAGTGTTATCCAAAGAGATCTAAAATGTATATCCGAAGATGTATTATGTTTTCCGGAACAGGGCTTGAGTACGGTTTCATGGGGCATGTACATTGCCATTGCGAGCTGGCTGCCCCGGGTGGGTGGCCTGTTGTTATAGCTGCCCCGCCCCCACCTCCGCCCCAGCCAGGACCCTGCCAGGAGTCCGTTCACGTGGCGCCGGCGATAACAAGCAAATGCAATTATGGATTTACGCGGTGTATGCAACGTATTTATGAGTATTTGCGACTTTTTACTGGCAACTGGTCGGGCCGGGCCGGACCGGGCTGGGCCAAACCGGGCTGGTCCCTGTTGCGGTTGGCTTACACTTTAATTGAGTTGGAAGCCCTAGTTCCCAGATGCTCCCCAGAACCATAGCTGTGCTGGAAGGGTGAGGAAATTGATGCGCTTCGGGTGCAAAAGACATCAAACACTCGAAATATTTTGTGTTTACTTGAAAAATGACATGAAAGCGGCCCGAAACAACACCCCCACCCAGGAGTGGCTTTCAAGGGGGGTTGTGGGGGGGAGGCGGGAGCCGGAGTGGCATGCAAAAGCAAACAAACAATTTGCGGGTCTTGTCTCTGACATGTAAGAGGGCGAGGGTGCCGGAAAGCACACATCCTCGTCCTCGCCCTCGCTCTCGTCCTCGCCCTCGCACATCTTACTTGTATCTTCGAGGGTGTAAAGTGTTTCTGAAAGATGATTGATACGATTTCGAGTGCTCCCCGAGCCACTGAGATCCCCGTTCTTCCTCGCAGGACTCCCTCGTCCTTTGGGGAGCCGCATAAGCGGCGGCGTAATGAAGCGGAAATCGATTTGGAGCGCGTCCTCAACCCGTGCCGGGAAGCTGGGAAATCGGGAAATCGCTCGCCGGCAGCGGGCGTGCGTGAAAAGTTTGACAGCAGCAGCCAGCCAGGAGGAGGCAGAATGATGAACAACAGGCCACCACCCCCCGAGCCACAGATGAAAAAGTGGGTTAAGGAAAGAGTTGAATCATGGCCGTCTTAAAGGGAAAATTGAGTCAGAAGAGCAAGGTCCTTGAGTCGAAAAAGGCCTAGGCGGGAGAAGTATACTTTTCTTGGATTCGGAGGATTTTCTCTCAGTGCTGTGGCCCCGCCCAGGCCCCGTCCCCCTGCTGGTGGAAAAACAAAAGCGTAAACAAGAAAATATTAAGCAGCTGCGAGAGGAAAACAAAAACGTAACCCAACGCACCCGAAAAAGCTGCAGAAACGAAAGGGAAATGCGGGAAAGAACTTTTCTTTCTGATGGGATGAGAGGTGGGGGCGGTGGGGGCGGTGGGGGCTCTGGAAAAACAACCAAAAATAAAATAAGGAAAAAGGGCAAGAAGAGCTGAATGCGGGGGTGTTCTGGGGAAAAGCGATTTCCGCCGCTCGCTCGTAACTTTTCACTTAAGCATTTTTGTCACGTCTGCCATTTTTCCTTTTTGCCCCGCCCCTCGAGAGGGCCCTGTGTAATACATTTTTGTAATATTTACTCTGCGCTTTGTTGGATCTGTGCACCCTGGACCGGCCTCCGAGTATATCCAATTGCCCGTGGCCCAAAACAGAACACAAGGACCTTCGGGAGGGTCCTTCGAACAACAAACCCGTTTCCCATGTTTATAATTTCATTTTTTTTTTTTAGAGGGCATTCGGGGTTCGTGCTCGAGTTCGTGGCTCGCTCCTTTATTTTCTACACACAGTCGTATTTGTTGTTGTTTGTTTTACGCCATCCTTGCACTGACTTAATGTCCTTTTTCCGAGTTTCCGAATTTCCGAGTTCCGGCCAGTTCCTTAATTTCTTTTCGTGTTTCTCGGGGAGAACTGCTTGTTTATGCAGCGGGCAAAAATCATATTTTATTGTTATCGAAATTTAGTGGCGGCCCATAAACATCGATGAGCCTGCCCCGCTGGGAATCCTCGGGAAATCCCTGGGCTCGCTGGGCTCTCTGGAGCGGAAGGGGTTACAACAGCAGCTCCCTGGAGCTCCGGCAGAGCAGGCCCGTAATCTGGCGCAAACTAGGTCAGCTGCGGCGACACTCTGCACTTTGATTTGGATTAGGGCGAGAGCTGCAGTTCGCCAGCCACCTCTGTATCCTGCATCCTGATCCGGAATCCGGAATCAAGATCCGGTGAAAATTGCCCGGAGTTTAGCTGCGGATGTGTGGCGGTAGATTTGATTCAATAAAAGTTGTTGGATTCAAATTCAAACTCAAAGATTGAAAGTGGTTCTGAAAAGGAAATGGTTTCCTGAAAACTAAAGACCAAGAGATTTAAAAAAAGAGGTGAAACATGGTTATTATTTCTAGAATTTTTTCTTTATTTTTCAGAGTGGATGTTTCCAATTGATCTGTTTTGGGATATGGGATATAGTAGACCGATCTGTGGTATATCCTGCCTGGAAAGGAAAGAAATCCTTGTCCAATGTTTGGAGTTGATATTTTGAAAACTGAGGGACTAGTTCATGGAGAGCCAGGACATGCTTATAAAAACTCAGAAGGTTATCCCTTACCTTCAAATTTTAATACCCTCTGCAAGGATAAACCTAAAGGTAAGTAGTCCAATAATATTATTTCAATATTATATTATATTAAAGTTATAAGAATATATGGATAGTCCCCTCTGCAGCATCTCTCAAGAGATACCTTACCACCTTATCATACCATGTTCTCCTTAATAAAAGCATAATCTCTTCGAAAAATTAAAAAAAAATTCCAAATCCACTCCAAGAATTTGCAACAAAGAAGGAATGACCCTTAACCCCTAGACGAAAAAAAAAAAAGTAGCTAATAAAATAAGCAACACACTCAGTGGCCCCGGGCGGGAACTGCCCTTGTTTGCTTTGAGCTGACCCTAAATCTTTATGACCTTGTAAGGCCACTGGCAAAGCCCACCGCCCACCTTTCCGAGGAGCAGAAGGCCTCGAGGAAATCAACAAATCATCCAAACGATTTTAGACATTTTCATTAGCCGCAATTTGGGCATTAAAAGTGGCCCCACACCCGGTTGTGCTTTATGGCCGAGTCGACACCTTCGGAATTGGTGGCATAAATTGTCGAGTGCGGCAGTTAACTGGCTAAAACTAAGCCGGCAATCCATCAAACCACCGGAGTGGTTCCTGGTTCCGGGTTCCGGCCGTAGAGTGGAGTGGAGTTTCAGTTTATAAGCGGCGACCGCAAATGTGCCAAATGAGAGGCTTTCGGTTTTCTATTAACTGTCAGCCGTTTAATTTACAGGCACTTTTCGAGCACACCTCGTCCTCAGCAGGAGGTGGTCAGAGGGTGGTGTCCTGAATGGGTGGCTGGCTGGTTGGGTGGGTGGTTGGGTGGTGCTGCAAGCTTGGCAGGAGGTGGCCAATAAATTAACAAGCAGACGAGAACGGAAATGAAATGTCTGTGTGTCTGTGGCGGAGATCGGAAGTGCGGTTTCTGTGTGCGGGTGGATGGGCTGGCTCCCTGGCTTGGTTGCTCGGTTGAGATGACTTTCCGAGGTACTCCCCTTCTAGAACTGCCAGTCTGGAAACTGACATTTTCCTGCCTTCGTCCATTTCCATGTCGCATGTCAAGCGATGCGAATTCTAATTAAAATTTAATTGTTTACACTTTTCGGCCAACGAGCGGAAATGGGAGCGGAAGCGCCAAAGGCTTGGCTTGGTACTCCACACCTCCCTTCGACCCCCCATTACCTTAATGTTTTATTTCCAAAAAAAAAAAAATTCTAAAAAAACTTTCTTCCATGACAAGTACTTCAAAAGTTAGATTTCTTTTTGTGTGTCAGGTCCTCATAATAGCACACTCATTTCTCTCAGTGCACTAATGATTGTCCGAGGTTCAGGTCCGCGACCATTAGCCCTAAGTATTGTCGTGCTTGGCGCGTTTAATTGTCGCTTGGCCTGATTTACATTACATGGACGGCGAGAAAAGTTGGCAACACAAACAAACTGCTGCCAGCTGCCGGCAGAAAAGAGAGGGGGTGGTGCCACATGGGTGCCAGAGTGGGTGGCGGTGGTGCAGAAACTCGAACGTGCCTCGCATGCCAATGGAATGCTTATCAAAGTGTATAAAATTCATAGAAATTATGACGCGAGCGCAGAAAGTTGCACGACCCAGAGCAAGAAAAAGACGTTTGACGTTGACACAATGTTGTATATATAGATTAAGTATATATATATGTGGGGGCGAGAGGGGAGGGGGGGAGTGCGCCTCCAAGTATATGTACTGGGACAAAAAGGGGAGTGCTAAGGCGTGGAAAAGTTGTGTGCTTAAGCGTTTTATTGTCTTTAAGCTTCATTAAGTCAAATGGCGAAAGCGTTTAGGGCAAATGAAAAGCACATCACGCAGCTGGGGGGTTTAGGCAGATCCAGAATCCATATAATGATGTTCAATCTGGGTGGCGACCGGAGGAGTATCCCTTTACATCTCCACCCCTCCCCCTATGCATGTACCCTCCCCCGGCAATTAAAAAGTTGTCGCCTAGCAATAAACGCGCATTTCATGGAACGAAATCTAGTTAGCTCGCTTTGGAATTAAATTAAAAAGCAAACTTTTCACGCCCTCCGACCTCCACCCGAAGTAAGACTCGAGGGACACGTAACTTGGTATGTTTTTATGGCAACACAAGAGTAACAATGTAGTAACAATGCTTGGACGATATGACTAGTGTGAAGTGTGCGGATTTAGTGGCCCTGATCACCACGTGAGATTCGACTTTCCGCTGGTCTTGTACGCCTCCTCAAACTGTGCCCGAACGCATGCAGCGCACCCCAGATTGAAAACCGGGCACAACACTAGTAGCCCGGTTTTCAATGTGATTTTTTGGCACTGCGCGATGGCCTGGATAATGACAAGCATTCCTTCAGTTGCCATGGTGACGCTCGCGATGGTCAGCCAGGGTGTAACAAAGTGGGGCTTGATCTGGGGGAAGGCAGGTTAGAAGACTCGATGTTGGGAAGACTACTGGACTCACCTTGACCAAGCCATAGATAAGCATCAAATGAGGCACCATCATGATTAGGTGTCCTACAATGCGGCAACGGCGCAACTGATTGTCGGTGAAGAAAGCAAACTGCCTCGGACGCCACATTCGCAACGGGTGGACGCCATCCTGCGAGCGAAGAACCCGCAGGAACTCGATAAAGTTGTGCATCTAGAAGAGATGGATCTATCAGCTGCCTGTCTTCGACATTAACCGACCATGAACTCACCGCTCCAAACAAACTGATCACCAGAGTGAAGTAGAAAATGAACGGAAACAGCTCCGCCGGGCAGCTGACCGCGCTGTTAAAGAACTCTGCCACCACCTTGGGATAGCTAGGCTTGGGCTCGGCCCCGAAACCTTCGCACATCTTGAGGGAATAGAAATCACAGCCGTGGAACAGGAGATCCTGAACGGTGCACACAGAGTTCTTGACAAATGGCAACATGGCTTAGCTTTGGATTCACACACGATCGAAAATATTTGAAATCACAGGGCACACACGAACCGGGTACTGGCGATACTGAGATGTGAATAAGAGTGAGCTCTCAAACCCGAAACAGTTCACAGCACTGAAGTATAAGGTTACGGCCTGCTTAGATCCGAAAACGGCTTTTTTTTTTTGATGTTTTACTCGAAAAATATTTCGAAAAAACAATTCAAAAATAAATAATTTTACAGGGAACACAAAAATCAGGTACTGTCGGTAGTGATTTCGGGTTGAGAGTGAGGCTTGATTCGAGTAACAGCTCCCAGCTCTGAAGTATGTTTGAGGGCACAGCCTGCTTTGAACCTCAAAATTGTAACTTTTCGGTTTCTGGCCCAAGGACAAGGACACTGGGGCTAAACACAGGATGACGAAGACGACGACAATGATGATGATGATGCTGCTGATGGTCCTGCGAGTCCTTCAAGCCATGCAAGCCATCCAGGCTAGCCCGGCCCTCCGACAGCTCCTTCTGTCATTTGTGGCTGCTGGTCTGCTTCATTGGTTTTTGATTGTGTTTGGCTGCTTTATTTATTTATGGGCAATGAGTCCCCAGTCCGCAGCGGAGATGATGGGGGTCCTGGCAGTGGTTGGCTGGCAAAGCTTTCATAAAATATTATATCTTGTTTTTACTCGTCGTGGCTGGCCCTGCACCTGGAGAAAAGTGCAGGAAAACGAAGAGTTTCTGCCGGGTCATTCGAAAGGACAACTTCTGAGTGGGTGTCTCTAAGAGCCTGTGCCTCCGATGTTTAGCCTTGAATGCTCTCAGATATTAGACCCCGGATCCCTAGCAGGACTTTTCGAGCAGTGTGTGCACATAAGCCGGGCCAACTCATGAAGAGCCTTCGCTCACAGCAAAGTTAAATTGCAAACAACAAGGCGAACAGGATGGGGAAGCTCAGCGGCGCCAGGAGCCCAGCCCAAGCAGAAGGAGTTACGGGGGGCGGAGACTAGGGAGCTAAACCCGGAATCCAGGACGGAATCCGGTGAGGAGGCGACGGGACGAGTCGTGTGGCGAAGTTCGCTGGCTTTTTGTATAACTTTTGATTAATAGAGCGACGACGAGGCTGCCAGGCAGCTGTCGTTGGCATAATTGCACCACACACACACACACACACCCTCATGCGAGCATCTACACGCCACTACAGTATCCCGCAGCCAAGCCCCCTACCGCCTGCCCTTATCCAGCCCCACCCACTTGCAACATCCCTTTGCCCTGCACATGACAAGAACTTGCGCTCGGAGCTGAAACTTCTTACGCTAAATTGATTCCGTTGAAAACAAGTGCTTGGACGGCCAGGCGTGGGGTAAGTGCACTGCAAGAAAAGGCAGACATCCCTACCATCTGGAGGCAAAAGATCCAAGTCCTTTTCTCGCTGTGCACCATAAGGAGTGAAACAAAAGCCTGTCGAGATAACAGACAAATGCACTTATGCAACACAGCCGTGGAAGACAGCTGAAGACAACATAAAAACAAACAACTTGGGCCGGTTTGGGGTCGGGCCAGATAGAGCTCACCATCCTATCCGATTTCCATACACGCCGACTGCCTCCGGCCCCGGGCCCCCCCGGCTCCTTGCCACTTTTCCAAACTCGTAAAATCCCGACGAAACACCGAAACTACAAGCATATCAAAAATGTTGCATATGGGATGGTCGTGGGGCAGGCTGTTACATCCTCCCCGGCTTCCGGCCCGTTACACTGGGCAGCCAGCAGGAAACTCGATTCCGATTCTGATTCCGAATCCGAATCCGAAGTTCGGGCCTCCCAGGGAGATATTATCAGTTTTGGCAATTAAGTTTCTAATGGCAACATTGTTTCGTTTATGATTTGTTTCGCCCGCAATGAGCAGAGCTACGGATTTCAGATTTCGGGCCCAAATCCGACAAGGCGCCTCTGCTGCTAAAATATTTGCCATGTTCCGCATGCTATGCTAGTTTTGGGCAGAATGTTCGGTTTTGGATGTTTTGTGCTTGATTTGGTTTGCGGCCGGGGCTATTTAATTGCGTTTGAGCTGCTGTCAGTTGGTCAGCCAGGACGTGGCATTGTAGGCACAGCCACACAGCCGAAAGGACAACAGAATACGGAGTGAACCGGCAAGGACATAGCACTCGCCAAAGGACCGGGATTAAATCAAATTTAAAACTCTGCTGTGTCCTGATAAATTATCCATGCATGCATATTATATGAGAGGGCCCTGGCAGGACATCAGGATGAGGGAATCCTGCTGCACATGGCATAATGCATGCACACTTAAGGCCTCGAGAGTGCCAGCCAAATGGCATGACAGGGACGGATGCTCAGATAGCGCCAGCTGGAAACGGATGCTGGTTGCTGGTAGCTGGTTGCCGGTTGCCAGGACCTCTCGTCCAACCTCCCTAGCCATCCATTCCTGCTGCCCTCCAGCTCTCCAGCCCTCCTCCAAACCTAAAACCCATCCCAGCCCGACACATCTCATCTCGTCTCAACTCGGAAAAGCTTAGCAAAATACTTTCATAATAATCTTTATGGTACAACGAGGAAAATAGAAAAAAAAAAAGCACTGAGCGCGAGTGCGAGTACCACTACCAGTACGAGCTCGAGAAATGGCCAAAACTGTTACCAAAAAAAGGGAAAAACACAAAAAACCAGACGGAGAACACACGGGCTAAACGAGTGGGGCAGCTGGCCGGGGGGAGGATGCTTAAATAAAATGGGTAGTTCGGCGGCGGCGGAGGCAGGAGGGGGCGTCTCTGATTTGGTTGCCTTGTTTTTGTTGCTCTGCACACTCCATGTAGTTGCTTTTTTATGAAGACCACCCCTCCACGCCCAGCCCAGGCCTGCCATGGACGTACTACGAAGGGAGGTAGGTAGCTGCAGGATTTTCAGGTTTGACGTGTTTTGCAAGATTAAGCTGCGATAATAAATCGCCTGCTTCCTGGGAAGTAACAACTTGCCCTGAAAATCCCTCGAATAACTCAACTACGGCAGTTTGCATTTCTTTTGCTTCGGTTTGCCGGCTCCGGCGAATATTTCAGCACAGGACCTCCTGAAAGGAGGGACTTCTCTCCGCATTCATGCAAGTAGGGCTCCTAAATTTTTCTAAACCATTAATAGGCTCAGCCACTAATTTGAATGGAATCATTTGAGTAACGAGTCGCGGGAGGGCGAAGGATCAGGATGAATGCTTTCGGAATGCTGCACTGGCCGGGCTGGAGGGCGCACTCCATGCCATCCGGAGATGCCATTTTGTTTGTTTTGCCAAATGCTAAAAGCAAAGTTGGATTATGTACGGGAGGATGTGTGTGGAGATAATACGAGTGAAGGCCAGGCTCCAGTGCCTCTGGTCGCCGCTTCTGGTGGCCCCAAAAGTTGAATGTGCTGCCCTCCCGATGCCATTGGGCAAGGTGGGTTTTATATGCAATAATTTTTCGTTCTTTTTCCGCCCGCTCCGGCAGTGGCGAGGCAGTGGGCGGGGCACTCCGCTCTGCATGAGCTGGATTTAATAAATTCTAATGTTTGCTTACCTTGCCCGAAAGGCTTTCAACCTGAAACCGCCACACAGTCCCACAGACACCCAACCACACACGCTGCTTTCCTTTTTTTTTTCCGTTTTCAGAGTCTCTCCGACTCTGGTCGTTTTTGGGGAATAACAATGTAAGGACCCTGCCATCTGGAACCGGAGCTTGGCGCCATAGCAGATTTACTTTTATTGCAAATTGCAATTCTGCATTCTCGGCCTCCATCCAGTTACCGACTTTCCGCCTGGCCACATAATATAAATGTCTATATCATGAATGAATGAATAGACAGATACACAGATCCACAGATCCACAGATACTCAGATACACAGAGGGAGCAACGAACGGACAAGCGGACAGGCCAACTAAGGGCTAATGTGAGGCGAAAGGATGTACTGGAGGTCTGTACTTCAACCTGCATCTGCATTTCATAAGAGCACCTCTCGAATCGACTACAGTGACAGCTGGATATGACGGACACAAAGCACATAGCACTGTGAAGGACTATAGACGCACTCCAACCGACTGGCCAGGTCCTGCCAAAAAAAGCACAAGCTGGACCTGTACTATTGAATTCATTCTTTGTGGTGTCCTGCCAGGACTCTTACTGTGAGCCACACCTGGTCCTGCAGCTGGAAAGTTAAATGGACTCAAGTTTCTGCTTTTAATTAATAAAGCCATTTCTTTATTTGGTTTTCAGACAGACAGTCGGGTGGTCGGCCAGTCAGGTGGGTTCTCGGACTTCCCAGATCCAGATGGGCACAGGAAACCATGACTACGAACGAAACCAGGTCCAGAACTTGTACCAGCACCGCCGGGGGCGCGTGGCAGGAGGGTAGGCGGGTGGTGGAATGGCCTGGGGCGTCACCACCACCATGGTGGAAGTCCCCGTCTGCACCTGGTCGTCCAAGTGGTCCTGCGTAGCCCGAATCACGCAGTGCTGATACTGCTCCATGACCTACCACAACGAGAAGGGGTTAGGTATGAAGGGGCGGATGAGGACTCACCTTGAAGCAGTTGCAGGAACGTTCGCGGCTTCGCTGGAGGCAGGTCTGCAGCCGGGCGGCCACGTCCCTGCAGGGTGGATCTCCCAGGGGAGTCAGCTGGGGATCGGAGTTCATCAGCAGGCGGTTGAACTCCTCGTAGATGGCCTTCTCCGGCCTGGAGAGGATTGTGCGCTCAAGGATGTGGATGAATAGTGTGGCATACTTACATGCGCTGGATGTCCTCGATGGCGCCTATCACAGATCGGGACTTGGTGCGCCTCGTCTTGGCGTTTTCGGCGTACACCGGCTGGGGTTCCGGGCAGGCAGTTTCCGAGGGCGACGGACACTGATCCTTGGCATGAGGCGTTTCCTGCTGCCTCGCCTGGGCTTTGGCCTCCTCCTCGCCACCTTCGACTCGCGCGCTCCGCTCCTCGCGCGCCATTCCGGTCAGGTTGGCCCCCATTCTGGCAACGCACCCCGGCCGTCGACAGTGGCTTGAACTGAGAATTTTCTTGGGTTTTCGTGTCTTGGTCCTTTTTGTTGTGTTTGGTGGCTTTCGTCAGAAGGATACAATGTTCATGGCTAGAGATTTTGCGGCTGGAAGTGAGGAAAGTGAAACAATTGTCGGCGACGTCGGTAATTTAAGCAAAGGGTCACGCCCGGCACCAAAATTTGACAGAATACTCAAATCCCAATCATCTTTTCAAAGAAGTGCCCCCCTTAATCCCGTCCAAGTTGGATTAAAAGCGAAGTAGTTCTTCTCGTGGCACACATTTCATCAGGACCGTAATGGCCTAGTTGGCAGAGGACCCTGGCAAGCTTACAAAGTAGCGGAGCAAGTACCGGCCATTTGCAGGCGGCCAGGTGATGATCCACAAACGCCCTCCTCCTGCCCCTCGCCAGGCCCTCGTCCGGCTCTCAAGTTTGGAATTTTTGCTTAATTGCGCATCAGAGGGAAAAGTTTTCCTGTTTCCGGCGGAATGGCCACCACAACGCAACACATTGAGAAAGTTCATCCAGACAATTTGACGATGGTCTGTCTGTCCGCTTGTCCGCTTGTCCGTCTTGTCTGTCCGCATGTCCGCTTGTTCGCCTCGTCTGTCAATTGCAGGCATCTCCTCACCATCTCCGGCTGCATCAATGTCCGGAGGGGGTGTTGCCACTAATCAAGCAAAAGTGACCTGGCCTCAGGTGCAGGCAGGTGTTCCGGGTTCAGGTCCCAGGCCCAAGCCCAGATCCGAGCCGAGCAGGGGGGGCATAAAAAAGTCAAGAAGTTTGTTGCGGCTGGCATTTCGTTATTGGAATTTTCATTGGCCACAAAAATACTTTTTCGATTAAACTTTAACGGCGCGTAAAATGCCAAGCCAGAGACGCCAAATGGCCGGAAAAATGCCAGCGAGTCCGGCAGGCAGGTTCGCGTTCAGGTTGAGGTGCTCCCAATGCCAAATCAGAAAATGATTAATTACGGAATGTTTTTCGGTACACACAGTCCCCTGGCCGGAGTCCTCGGTCCGTCCTCCATCCTCCTCCTCACGGAATGGCGCCCCATTTCGGTGCGTAGCCTGCCAAATGCCAATTAGCGGAAATATTTCACGTGGCCAGCGTCGCCGACTAATGGAAATAAATTAGTTTCGCCTCCTTTTCGGCGGTCCCACATCAAAAATGTTAAATACGCAATCCCTCTCCTGGGACAGCGAGTCCGAATGGAAATTGAAATGGAAATCCGCAACAAGGACAACGGCTGAGGCCCCCAGAGTCGGGGCACGGCATGGCACGGCGAGTGATTTTCCTTTAAGGATGTGCCTTGAAATCGAAACATAATTCAAGGATGGTTCTGGACATCCTCTCACAATTCTTTAATGGGGACTACCAACTTCACTGACGTAACATTTCAAAACGAGGCGGAAATGGTGGAAATTTCTGGTCCAGGTTAGTTGCCATCGCTGCGGGTACAGTCACCGCCATAACCGCATCACATTGTTGCTCTCCGGCCAGTGCAGCCAGCGAACCAGCGAGCCGGAAAGTTCATTTGGCTCCGGCATTCATTTCACATGTCCGCAACGGCTGCCCCCCCGGTGCGCCGGGTCGAAAATGCAAAAGTCCCCCCAGCCGGCTGTATCAACGTGCAGCGGCCACGGCTCTCGGCCTTTAATTGCCACGCCTCCCCCTATCAGCCCCTTTTGGCCAACATATTTAGCCTGGGTACCATGATCAGAGGAGGAGGGGCGGAGGTGAAAAAAAAACACGAGGATTACAATCAGCATGAAAATCAAGCGTCAAAAAGTTTTTACCACCACGTAATCCGCAGCAGTTTTTCATCTTCAGCGGAGGCATGCGAGTGGGATGGGGATGTGTGGCACACCCCCATGGCCTTGGCGGTGGCATCCAGATGTGCATCAGAAGCAGGAGCAGGAGCAGTAGCAGTAGCAGGAGCTGAAGCATCAGCATTAGCCGAGCACGTTCAACTTTCCAGTGGCACGCGAAACCGCACAAAATGTCGCCGCCCCACTTGCGAAACCTCTTGCTCCATCACACTGTCTCTTTCGCAATCGCACTTGGCCCCTCTTAGCTCCCCGCCCATGCTGGGCGAAATTTTTCGCACATTTCTGCCCCTTTTTTTCATACCCGGCACTTTCTGACTGAAAGGGTATATTATTTTTGAAGCTATTTCCCACAAAAACGAAAAGATATGTCTTAAAAGTGAGATGAATCTCATAGGAAAGCACTCACCTTGTTTATCGCCAATTGATGGCAAATATCTGACAATGAAAAACGTTACGAATGCATTGCACTGCTCTGCTTTATTTTAAAACTAAATCTTTGATAGTTTTTAGAGTCCTGGTACTGCATCTGTACGAAATCAAACAACGCCATTCCATATTTTTATGGGGAGAGCGTAATAAAATGAAGAAATGAAACCGTGTACTGGGTACTTTATGGCTGAAGAACTCTTTTATAGTCTCTTCCCCATTTTTTTTGAGCTTCTGGTTGCCTCTTCTGGTTGTGGCTGGAGCTTGGCTGGAGCACTGGCTTCGTTTGCTATATTTTTCAGCATATAAATTTTCGTTCAAGTTGAAAAGTTTCACATACTCCTGTCACGTAACGCACAGTGGGGTCCAGGAGCCGGGGCACGAGCCGGAGGCACGGAGACTGGTGAGTGGTGGTGGTGCGTGGTGCCTGGTGCCTGGGCAACTAGGGAAGCTTCGGGAGGGAGGGATGGCAGACCGGGTCGCGTGCTGAGCTGAGGTCATGCCATGCCGGAGTCCGAGTCGCTAATTTATGGCCTGACATTAGAATGCAATCATATTCACTTAAAAAAGTGCATAACTTTTGGCTTTCGCCGTTGCCTGACTTGCGGCTGTCATCGTTTATGTTGTGCAGCAATAGTTGCAGTTGCAGTTGCAACTGTAATAGGGCTGCTGGTGGTCGGCTATTACCCGTCCTGCTGCACCTGCTGGGGGGGGGGGGGAATAACTTTTATTGCACTTGAGCTTAATTGCTGTACAAATTGCTGCTAATCGCGCGTGTTCTGCGTGCAAAGTGAGGTTAGTTGACGGCGTTGCTCCGTTCCTCCGACTTGTTCCTCCGAGGAGAAAGTCTCTCTTTTCCCCAAAAAAAGACTCACTTTTATGTGGCATATTTATTATTTTTGAATCAACATCCATTATGTGAAACATTATAAATGCATTCGGCATTAATTTGAATGATTTATCGTTCATTGGGCAAAATACACGCAAAAGAAGTGAATGATAAGTGATTAATTGATGACGAGCATGTGCTTTGGCTCGTCTGATATCAATTAAATTTAAATCAACATGATTGATTGCCCATTGAGCAATCATATTTATTCGCCGTGTAGGCTCCACTGCCCGCTACCCCCTCCTCAGCCAACTTAACACGGATATGGCCAAGTAAATCCACAAAAAGGAAAGAAAAAAAAAAAAGGGGCGAGTATCAAATAAATAAATCTCATCATAAGCATCCATATGCAAATGAATAAAATCTAAACCAAAAAATGTAAGCCGCCGGCAGCAGAGCGCCACTGACCCGTAACATGTGTCGCCCGTCCCCAGCGGACACGCCCACTTACCATCCAGCAGCCAGCATCCAGCATCCCGCATACTGTACCCTATATCCTATATCCTATCTGGGCCTGTTGGATATCCTACCCTGCCCTGTACTGCATGTGGGTGGTCTGGGTGGAACATAAGCCGCAAAAAGATTTTCGACAACGGGCGGCTGCAAAATGTGAAAACCAAAGAATTATTGCCTTGTCGCCTGTCCCTGACCTGACCCGGTCCGCTTCACATGGCCAGTTGCCTGGTTTTTGGGGGGCCGCCACCCATATAGAGGGGGAGGTCTTCCAAGGAACGGGGCGGAGTGCCGGGCGTAATCTTTGTGCCAACGCCAGTCGCCAACGTTGGCGTCAACGTATCCCCAGGCTGCCAGTTTACAATTTTGCAGCCGCCTGACAGGACTGCCAAGTTGGCGGGTTTTCTGAGGAATTATTTGTTTAAAAATGTTGGGGATTAAGGACATGCAGACAGCAGGACAAGTGGACAAAGGGACAAGTGAACAGAAGGGCAACACTATTTGCTGCGGACACTATTCTATAAAGTTTTATTAACTGCCAAGATAGGGAGCCTTTCGTAGTACTATTATAACTTCTTTAAAACAGGTTGTTTAAGGAGGACAAGTGGACAGAGGGACACACGGACATGGATCTATCACCTATAACAGAAAAAAACCCAAACACCAGGACCTGTTTTGCAATTCTGAGAGTCCAGAACATCCTTTGAAACAAACCCTGCACAGCCAAAACAGAAATCTAGCTTCCCTCCAGTGACAACTCTATTCCTGGAGCTTTCTTTGCCTTTCTCCAGCTGCGAAGGACCTTTCTCCCCTGCTGTGTTGTTGTTGTTTGCCGTTGATGATGTTGTGCTGCTTTGCATGTGTGTGTGTGTGTGTTGGGGTGGGGGGCTGGGGCAGTGTGTGTTTCGGTGTGCGTGTGAGGTGTTTGGTTAAGCACATAATTAATACGAAATTTGATTGCCTCTGCCGCGCTGGGACCGGAAGAAGCAGAAGCAGCAGCAGCACAGAAAGGACGAACCCGCCGGATGCGGGCCAAGTCCCTCCGTCTCTCCCTCCCCCACTGCTGGAAAATGTGGGGGCTGTGGAGTGGGGCGTGTCATGGGCGTATAAGTGAAAGTCAAATTAAAGTAAACTCGACTTGGCAACCTGTCTATAGAGGCCTCCCCTCCGGCGCTGCCTCCGCCGTTGCGGTTTGCCGCTTAAACGCTTGCGGTTTAATTAATCGACTCATAGCTGCATAGACCGTCTCTTTCTGCCCCTATGAGGGCGTCTCTCTCCCGCCATCTCTCTCGAGTGACTTCCTGTCGCTGCGGTTTTCGGTTTTCGGTCCCCTCGCGTCCTTTTATCTTTTTCTCCGTTGACGCTTTTTAATAACTTGGCCAAGGCTGACGCCGTTCTTCGCTCTTCTATACCCTTCTTGATGGTATCCCACATATCACCCAAGGCACAGCCTTTCCAGGGGACCATATTTTGGTACTCCTCGATATTCCCCAATTACCAGGGGGTCCATCAGAAAAATTTGAAAAAAATCTCAAAAATATTTCAATGTGAGATTTGAATGCAGTTTTATAGAGAATCGATCCACAATTCGATAATGGTATT